TTTGCTGTAGTGGAGGTATAAATTATTAAGGTGCACAAGTCGCTGTATTATTACATTGTTTTAACTTCCTCTCAAGTGGACAATTCTTAAATGAGAAGCCGACAATTAAGTTGTCTTTCCGTCGTCATGGTGATGAAAAGCACCACATTTTGATTAAAGTAAACAAGAAAAAACGTAATTGTTTATTTAAAAACACGTGGGGCTTGATGCAGCCTAGGAAAAATGAGTAGACAATAGCCATGTATGGAGCATTCATCTTCAACCAACAAAATACCAACAGCGCTACTGAGACATACATCATTTAAAACTGAGGAAAAGTTCTCAAAACAGCATGAATCTTTTTATATGAAAAAAGAAATTACGAAGAACTCTCACAGTTGGATTCTTTACAATAAATACCAGCTGGCGATTTCCACAGAGGTATTTTTGACGATACACAAGATGACTGATTTTTAACCCAGGGAATATTCTTCTGCCCTTGCTTAAAAGGAATTAAAATCAAGACAGCTCTACATGTCCAAATGTTAAAAAATTAAAACCGACAGTATGGAACAGGAGCCTTCACTTGGTAAAGCTCAGAAGTTTCTGTGAAACAATTTGTTCGAAGCTACCTTGTACCGTCCGGTCGCATTAAATTCTAATAAAGGATCGCTCAATTCCTTGAAGTGGGACATGTTGCGCGTTTATCAAAGCTTTGCCGGCGGAATGCTTCAAAACGTTATTCATTCCAGTGTGTTATAACTCACTTTTCTCTCTGGATGTGAAACGTTTTCTGTGAATATGAAATTCCCTTTTTTGTGACTGGATGGAGAAACATTAAGCTCCTTTCTCAAAGTCTGTGAAAACGCAAAAACATTTTTCACACAAATCTTTTTTTTTTCATGTCACTGACGTCACTATAATTCCCGTTTCTTTTTCCGTCTGAAAAAAAAAGCAGCTCCTTAAGTCCATGTTTATGAAAGGACTACGATTTTTTTTCCTCCTTGTCGAACGTACTAACGGAAGCGAAAGTTGTTCAATCTCTTTTTGTTTAAAAACATCATTTCCTTTGTCTTCAGGTACTTCGCTCGGCAGCACTTGCAAGCATGCCATTGCCACGTGCCCAGGAGGCAAGACCACATACCCTGTCACGTGTTCACTGGGATGTCCAAAGGACTATTCCATCAAGGGATCGTCCACGGTCACGTGTCAAACATCGGGACAGTGGTCGTCATATGCTACGTCATATTGCCAACGCAACAATGATCCACCCACTCAGGTTAGAGCGAATGACGAACATCTCATTTCTCTTTATAATGTGATCGTAGTTTTAAGCAGATAAGTGAAGAGAATTGCGAGAATGATCGAAGAGTGATGTTTTATCTTGTATAAGTGGATATGCAAAATTATATTTCGATCTCGTGACTAAGAATATCGAAACAACTGAAACAACTACTTGTAGCACACAACAAACATTGAATACAAATCAATAATTTTAACTCTATGAAACTCTCTCGTCTACGATTATGATCACAGCTTAAACACCA